GGCTGAGGCAGTTCTACGTGGCCGCCCAGGGCATCGGCTGGAGCTACGGCGCCGAGCGCGCGGAGCACAGGTGAGCAGGGCGCGACCCCGGGGCCTGGGGGCGTCCATTCCTTCAGCGGCATTCCCTTTGCTGATTCTGCCGCCAGCTCTGAGGGTACAGGGGATGCTGTTTGATGGGCTAGAGCGGCTTCCGCGGCTTTGCTGATGCCACAGTTCTGTTAGTGTGATTGATTGTGGTTTAATATATTGATTGGTTCAAAAGCACCGGGCACCACCCCCTCCATACCCTGCAAGCTCCTGTTCTAGAGTTTTAGCAGCCGAGTATCTTTATGCAACTTCCAGCTACATAGTATTTATTGCATTCTCTACAAAGCTTCCTCTTCCGAAACTAAAGACATACGGACCCCGGTCCTTCACTAGACACAGGTTATTCAGTAACAACCACCAATTTTGTTATTTCCTTACAAATGGCTTTCAAAACACCATCAGGCCATAAACCTGCAACATTTTTGTTCATTCGCCTTTTCTTACGGCATGTGGCCCTTCATTTTCCTCCCTCGCTCCATGGACCCGCCCTGCCCTGGTGATCTTGGTGAGGTCGCAATGAAAAGGTAGATATGCAGCTAAGAGGAGGTTTAAATAATAAAGCTCTATCTCTGAGTCACAAACTGCTTTTCCTAATTGCAAGGCTAGAAGTAAGACTTCCCAGAAATGAGACAAATTATAGGATCTACTCAATATTTCCAGTTGGTTATATTTTTACTTGTTTTAGTGGGAAACCTCTTAGTGTGACTCAATTTTTTAAACTTATCTCTTTGAATGATTGCAAAAGACGTGTTCCCCTTTTACAATTACAAAGCGATCTACCAAGAGATATTGTAATATTTTCAGTCTTTTAGTGTATAACCTTAACCCTTTTCAAGTTTCCCTTGCAAGGTTTATTTTGGAGGGCATTACATACTCTCTTAGTCTTGTAATAAGAAATCCCTCTTTTTAAAATAAATCATCTTAACTATTTCATTTCAATGTGATAATCAAGGTCCCACCAGCACGGGGAGGGAGCTGCGTCAACTAGAACCCCAAGGGAAAGAACCGTCAGGCACCAATCTTTCCTGCTTAGGGGCAAACGCTAACTTGACTGCTGGCTTTCCCGTGGCCACTGTGCTTGGGCTTGAAAGTTTGGTCTTTCCTCCAGAGTTAATGCTGAAAACTGGAGGCAGAACCACACAGGTCAAAAGCCTGGTCATGTGGTGAGTCCACAAGGAGCCATGGTGGGTCCTCCTGTCCTCTCGCTCGGTGGCTGTTCCCAGGATTCTAGGAAGAGTCATTCTTCTGGTATCAATTATTGAATCAAATGATAAACTAGACCAGCTCTCAATATTTTTGAAGCTTAAATCATGTCATTTCTCTCTAGTATTTTCATGTGAAAAATCTAACCTGTATATCTGGCTGTTTAAGTTAAGGACTTGTTCTAAGTCGTCCCATACCGAGGGCTAAATGAGACTGCAAGGAAATCCACATAGCCAGTTCCACCCTTTGCCAAAGTCTGTTTTAGCACAAAGCAAAGATCTTTCCCTTTAGTTCATCTAATATTAGCAGAACAATGCCTTTTAGAGGTGAAATATATCTGTTTTCTTGTTCCAGGTCTGAAGTGAATGTTTTTAAAAATTTCCTTAAGAAAACTTGTTCAGTTATTACATGTACGTAGTAACAGATATTTCAAAAATGTATATATATTTTCCTTCAGGGTTATAGTATTATATATGCATCATGCATATTACTTGAATTCATATCATCTGTAACTTTCTGTTCAGTTTTACTAACAATAAACCAAATAAATAAAAGCGGAATCCCACATTAGGGATACAATCGACGTATAGAATCCTTGGGATCTAAGAACTCGAAGAGGTCATTTAGTTCATTTTCAACTTCCATGTTCTCACCTCTGCTTCCCCCCACCCCCTAAGCTCCAATACTCCTGGAATCGTCTACTTTCTATCTGAATGCTTCCCGAGACTGAGAACCTAAGAGAACCAACTCCTTTCCATAGCTCAGCATTCCAACGACACTCACTCATCCTGTCCACAAACATTAACCCAGTTCTTAGGTCTCAGTTCTTAGACTTCTTCACCATGAATACAATGGGTTCACCTTTTTTGAATCTTGGCTCTCCCACTTATCAACTGTTTCTCCAGGGCCAAGTCACTTACACTTCCCGAGAGTTTGTTTTTCATTTGTTTGTTGGTTCCCGATATGAACCCCAGGGCTTTTCCTCCATGACCATATCCAGCTTCTCGCCAGACGCAGGCCCGCCAGTCAACAGCCCCTTCCAGCGCCCCGCAGCTTACTGCTGAATTGGACTGACAGCGAAAATAGCTCCCGGAGTTACTCATTAAAGATTCGATCAGATTTTTAGTCGTTTAAAATCCAAACCTAAAGTTTGGGTTCACCTCATGATCGTGGGTTCTTCTTTAGAAAAGTGATTCCGATTCTGAGTAACAGGGTTAGTTAGGGCAGATTTAATTTGTGACAGGATGGTGATCACAACAGAACAGTCTTGAAGAGATCAACAGTGACTCTGATCAGCCTCACTTGCTCGTATTTATAAAAACATGGGCTTTTGAAATATAATGAAAATTACTATTATTCCTAGTACAAGTCTGAGGACATGAGAGAGGCTTCTCTTTCTTTCTTTCTTTTGAAAGTGAATAGATGTCATACAGACCTTTCACATTAATTTTTGTATTGTATTTCCAGTTTGAATTCTTCTGCAACTACCTTTAAGAAAATTGTCTACAGAGAGTATGATGCGCATTTTCAGAAAGAAAAACCACGATCTAAAACTTCAGGTAAGCCCGAAACATATATTTTTAAATTTAAAGACAAAGCTCTTTGATATTTATCTATATCTAAGATATCCGTTTAGTGATATTTAATAGAAATGTGTATTTTTGTTGTTTTTAACCGGTGAAGGCTACATAATTTGTGGGCCCCAGTGCAAAATGAAAGGGAAATTCATATTACTGAGAATTTAAAAACAGTGACAGCGACGTACTGAGCCAAGCAGGGGCCCTGCATGATTCCACAGGTCACAAGTCACTTGCCCATGAAGCCAGCTGTTTCTAACCTGGATCAAAACGCTTTAAAAGTCCTTTAAGTGTTTGAATGTTTACGCATTCGTCTCACAAGCTATTACTGAGCGAGGGCTGGGCTCTGAGCTGGGCGCTGTGGGTGCGCAGCGGACGGGACACACGGTCCCCTCTGACGGGTGCAGTGAGCCTGGCCGGGTGGTCTTCCCCGGACTCCAGGACCTGCGTGGCGCTGACCCCTTCCCCCCACCTGTCCGTCTCTCCTGTTTTATTAGCGTGCTATACACAATAGCGATCTTCTTTAAAGAAAAACCTCTTCTTTCTCCACCCCCCTTCTTTAATCAGGGAAAGCAGGCTGAGTGGGTTTGGGGATCGGAAACTCGGCACCATTTTCACAGGCACGATGGAGACAACCCACCCCCCCTGGCTGGGTCCCCTGGTCAGTGATCCACTCAGCCTTCCTCCCGACGGGGTGGGGACCCAGAATCGGTCCCAGATTCATTCTTCTGCCTCATTTAGCCCATTATTTCCTGCCTCCTCTTCCTTTTATCTTCACTCTTCCCTTGACTGGAGCCTTCCCTTCAGCCAAAACTCATTACTGATAAAAGAAAACACAGCTATGTTCGGGTCCCCCCATTCAGAACAAACTCCCCTCGTCCCTGCTCGGCCTCCCCTTTCCCGGCCTTCCCTTCGCGAATGGTCGGCGTGGTCCCCACGGGCTCGTCTCCTCTCCCTGCCTCCCCCGCCCTGCCCCGTGGGGTCCCCTGACAGTCTCTCAGGAGGGCACCCACGGCTGCAAGGGCCCGGAGCCGGCGGTTTCTTTCCAGGTCTTTTCCAACTGGGCCCTTCGAGGATATTTAATGCTCCCCCGTTCTGGAAACTCTTTCCCTGCCTTCCCCAGGGCCGCCCCCCCCCC